CATCAAAAAGGTTTCTATTTTCCTCACTCACTGATCCGCCATTTCCTACCTGATAAAACTGTTGTCAAGGTTTTGGTTGCATATGTGCCTTCTCATCTTCAGCAGGCACACACATATATATATATCCTTCACATTCATATACCTTCTGTAGCAACACATATATCGGAACAATGCAAAAACAAAACATCCAAGGGGCTAATTGTATGAAACATATTAGCAGCTCTTGCCTGAGATTGAACATGACGGTGATTAACATGCTGGAGTTGCTCATCTCCAGCCTCCGCATTTTATGCCTGCTATAAAATCAACAAAAGGCAGCAAAATCATCAATAAATTATGATATTTCTGCTTACACTGCATAGGTCTAATTCTTCCTTAGTTTAATAAAAACCCTAAGCTTCCAGTATTGTTATGCCAAAAATAAACATCTCATTTTGTCAAAATATAACTGATTGTAGGTAATTTAAAACTGCAGAACCTGACTGCTAGAAAAATATTGACAAAGAGTAAAACCACATCCTCTCACCTTTTCTTACAGAAGGGAAAAAAAAACCAAAACCCTCATCCTCTCAGTAAAGCTTCCACAGTTCTCCTGACAAGGGTGAAGTTGCATTAAAATTTCTCCACTTATAAACCTTGTTAAAACAATACTTCTCAATACTTGCTCTAATTTCACTATTTCATAGCTGTACTGATATGACTATAAACGCATCTAACCAAAATGCAACTTCCAACATCTTTTACTAGTGGTCTAATCCACAGCTGCATGACCATAAACAAGAGGTGAAGAATAAGCATCTGGCAGAAGGCATAAACCTTTAAGAGCCGCCCTGTCACTGCAAAATAAATCAGTACAAAATCCATAGGGACCTACTTAGCAATTCTTACTCTGTGAGCTATCGTAGAAAAAAATTGCAGCAGATGCTACACAAACTAAATATATTCGCTGTCGTTGCTTTTCAGAAAAAAAAAGGAATTCATCCAAACAGTAACCCTTGGTTAGAGAGCAGCACCAAGATCCTAATCCTAATCAGATCAGCACAAGATTTACCGTACATGTCAGTTCAGGAGTCAGTGCCCCTCTCCAAACATCTGCCCCCACAAAAGCAAGTTGAAAGATGGGGGTGAGGGGGGAAGCTATGTCAACAGAAACTTTATTTCAAGCATTGTTTTTAATTGCCATCTCTCTGCACAAGGGGATCACACTGATGACATAGTAAATCCTTCCTAAGAAAAAAATCTAGGCTATACACAACCACTGTGAGGTGTAACTTTAAACATCCAGACAAAACTGGCTGGCTCTTCATCATAAATACTGAGTCAGACTTCTTTGCTACTGAGTCTCCAAGCTGGGGTGTGGCTCAATAATCACTAAAGAAATCTGAAACAAAAATTCTGTTTCAAGAACAGTTCCTAGACCAGCCTCCCCTGGATCACAAGCTCTGTAAGATGCAGAGAGCTATGAGCAACTTTGCTAAAACATTATGAAGTACCAACATATGCAGGCAAAAGGTCCTGCGGCAGGCCCAACTTGTCAAACCTAAGCCTCAGCTCTATGAATTAATAGGAAAATTTGCATCACGGAGAAGCTTGTTCTGTTCCTCCACGTTATTTACAAATGTCTCAGTTCAGCGTCTGGGATCACTCCTTTCCCTTCACTATTACCCATGCCCTCGGCAAACAAAGATACTGCCTCCTGGTAAAAAGCCCTAATTG